GCCTGCTGGTGGGTGAGACCCAGGGCAGAGAGGGGCAGAGAGTTTTGCTGACTGATCTTGCCTCTCTGTCCCCAGAACATCAGCATATCCGCTACAACCCGCTACAAGATGAGTGGGTGCTCGTGTCAGCTCACCGCATGAAGCGGCCCTGGCAGGGGCAAATAGAGCCCCCGCTCCTGAAGACAGTTCCCCGCCATGACCCCCACAACCCTCTGTGTCCCGGGGCCACACGGGCCAATGGAGAGGTAAGCCTTTAGAACCTACATCTGCAACTAGGCCAGGAGTACTACTCCCTCTTAGAGCTGCCCCTCACCCACAAGGGGGGTGGGCCTCCTGTGTTATGTCCCACCAAGTCTTTCTGACCTCACAGCGGGTCTTCCACACACCCCCTTTGTAGCCTGTCCAGCCCCTGAAGCCCGCCACATGACTGGTGGGTAGGGAGCAGCAAATGCTTCTAGCCAATCCTTGTCAGTAGGTGAATCCCTACTATGATGGCACCTTCCTGTTTGACAACGACTTCCCAGCTCTGCAGCCTGATGCCCCCAATCCAGGTAACCTGGCTCTAGCTGCTGTTGGGGGGGACGAGAGGCTGGACCTCTTGGAGGACTTCTGTTACAGAGAGTGACACTCCTTTATCTCAGGACCCAGTGATCATCCCCTTTTCCAAACAGAGGCTGCTCGAGGAGTTTGGTAACTATGGAATTACTCTCTTCAGCCCTGGGTTGGACTGAGCACTAGGGTTGAGCCCTGCCCCTAGCACAGCCAAGCCCTATATCTCTGTCATTTCTCCCTTCCCCACCACCCAGTAAGGTCATGTGCTTCCACCCCTGGTCGGATGTAACGCTGCCACTCATGTCAGTCCCTGAGATCCGAACTGTCATTGATGCATGGGCCGCAGTGACAGAGGAGCTGGGAGCCCGGTACCCTTGGGTGCAGGTCTGTGAGGTTGCCCCCCTACCCTGGATGGGCAGGGAGCGGGTGGTGCAGCTTTGGTGTTGGGAAGTGGTATTCCTGTTTTCACAGGGTGTGGTCAGGAGAGGCTGATGTGGTGTCTCTCTGGCTACTAAAGCTCTGTACCTCTACTTGATAGATCTTTGAAAACAAAGGAGCCATGATGGGCTGTTCCAACCCCCATCCCCACTGCCAGGTAAGTGTGTCAGGGGCTCCAGTGGATATCTGGGGTGAGTCCAAGGCAGTACTGTGGGGAAGGGAAGTGGAGGGACAGAATAAGTAATGTGGAGGCTTGGGGGTGAAGGATCTGCCAGTTTTCTGCTCCTGCCCCTTGACAGGTGTGGGCCAGTAGTTTTCTGCCAGATATTGCCCAGCGTGAGGAGCGATCTCAGCAGGCCTATCAGAGTCAACATGGAGAACCCCTGCTAATGGAATATGGCCACCAGGAGCTGCTCAGAAAGGTGGGAAAAAGCCAGACCCTGCTTTCCCAAGGAACTCCTAACCTCACCCCAGAAGAGAAAGGTGTGTGAAGGAGAAGGGTAGAAGGGAAATAGCAGAGAGACTTGATGGGAAGCCATAGCAATAATCTAAAGGAAAGACGATGGTGGCTTACATTAGGGTGGTAGTGGTGGAGGTGATGAGAAGCTATCAGATTCTGGGTACATTTTTTCTCCTTCTCCTGCCTATTTGCTGACAACAACCCCGTCCCCCCCCTTGATGACTTCATCTCCACTCGGTCTGCCCAGGAACGTCTGGTCTTAACCAGTGAGCACTGGTTAGTACTGGTCCCCTTTTGGGCAGTGTGGCCCTTCCAGACACTGCTGCTGCCCCGGAGGCATGTGCGACGCCTTCCTGAGCTGACCCCTGCTGAGCGTGATGGTGAGTCTCCCAGCTGGGACCCAGGGGCCATGTATAGGATGGGGATGGCTCTGGTAGGGCCACCATCTTGGCCCCAGGCTGAGTCAGGCTCTGGTTCCAGATCTAGCCTCTATCATGAAGAAGCTCTTGACCAAGTATGACAACCTATTTGAGACATCCTTTCCCTACTCCATGGGCTGGCACGGTAAGGCTTTTTGAGCATCCATACCTAGCCCCAACACCATTTCTGAGGTCCTGAGGCTGAGCTCAGTGGACTGCATCCCCAGCAGGCTTTGAAATACTTATTGGGGGCGGGGGGAGTGTCCCGAGTAGGGATGCTGGGACTAAAGGTGGAACAATAAACTTGGTGAAACTATGTCTCCCAGTGTTTTCATGCCTGGTCTACTCACTGGCAAGGAATGCTGGGAGATGTAGTTTTCAGATACCTAGCCTGGTTTGGGGGTAGGGGCTAAGCTGAAGAGCTAAAAAATGGCCCTCCCCAGTTATGTCTTCTTCCTGTCAGGGGCTCCCATGGGATCAGAGGCTGGCGCCAACTGGGATCACTGGCAGCTGCATGCTCATTACTACCCTCCACTCCTGCGCTCTGCCACCGTCCGGAAATTCATGGTTGGCTATGAAATGCTTGCCCAGGCTCAGAGGGACCTCACCCCTGAGCAGGTCAGATTTCAGAGCACCCTGGGTCCTTGGGTTCCTTTTGTCTCCTATTTCCCCAAGGGAGCCCAATAATCATGACCTGGAAAACCTCTATAACCTAGGCATTCCTAAGGACTCAGAAGCTGCTCAGCTCTATCCTCTGGTTATTCTGGCGGTCCTTATTGCCAGCCTCCTGGTCCGACAAGCCTTCCCCCAAGTGTCTCCTAGGCACTTGTTACTACTGTTCCACTCATACCGCTCCATACCACCATTCTGGGCAGTCCTTATTCTCCCTGATTGCTCCCTGTTCCCTTGCAGGCTGCGGAGAGACTAAGGACCGTTCCTGAGGTTCATTACCGCCTGGGGCAGAAGGATAGGGAGACAGCAACTATCGCCTGACCACATTGACCACAGGGCCTTCTGCTTGAGGGAACCAGGGCCTAGGGTTGGGAAGATGTGGGATCAATAAAACTAAACTGTGTTTCTCAAACTTTAATCACATATTCTAATGACAGAGAAGTATGAACTATAATCCTCAGGGATCTCGGTTAAAGGCTGATGGCACAGCACCAGCCACAACTTTTCTTTGCCTGCAGATGTGCAAAAACTTAAGAGTACAAAAATTACACCCCAAATCTCTGAACAAAATGAATACTCAATGTTGTGTCTGGCCTATAGATTCTCTTATTCCTGGAGTAACAAAGGCATCACAGTTAAAGAAATTTTTTAAAATCCTGAGTTCTTGTCTGTGGCTAAGACTTTGGGAAGGCCAGAGCCCTCTTCACCACCACCCCTAGGATGATATGTCAGCTCAACAAGCCTAGGCCTGAGGGTTTGGTTTGGTGGGGAGCGGGTGAGCAGGATCCTGGTCCCAGTGGTCAGTGGCCAGACACTGGGCTGCTGGCCAGAACCCTGGCTTTGTGAGTGGCTGCAGCCTGGCTCTGCTCCAGCCCACGGGCTGAAGGGGTGGGTAGGGAACATGTACATGGCTTTGTGTCCTTGACTTCTCTAGACTCTCACATGCAGCATATATAGGCAGGCTCTGCATGCCTGTGTTGCCCATGTGCCCCAATCATTGCAGGGGAAGAAAGGAAGAAAACAGCTCTGGCAGGGAAGGGCCTATCAGAGTTAGGAGCACCAGCCCTTTTAGGAGGACAGCTTGAGTCTGCCCTCTCCCCTCTGGACCTGTTTCCTTTGGAAGATTGTATGACTGTGTGGCAATAATAGGGCATGCAACCCAGGAGACCTGATGCCACCTAGGGCCTTCCAAACTTTTAGGTGAGGATAGGGCTTGTGAGCAAAGCATGGATGGCCTGAGGCTTTTTATCACATTCTTCTCTCAAGGCAACTGAGTTTGGGAGGGGCTATCATGCCAAGACTAGACAGTGATGACTTGGCCCAGGAGAAGCTTGGCTGCCTGCCTTCTAGTCAAGGGTTTTTTCTTCCGTGAGACTCTGAAGGGGTAGGGTCTAGGACTTGGGAGTGTCTGGAAGGAACTCAGACAGACATGGTACACATCTCCCTTGAGACCCCACTGACTGGGGAGTAGATGTGAACCCTGAATGGGGGTGGGGCTTGTTTCTTAAGGCATACACCTACACAAACGCCTGACCATACAGTCTTGATTTGGCTGCATTTTGGAATCATTTGGGAGTTTTTTGTTTTTGTTTTTTTTTTTAATTTATTTATTTGAGACAGAACGAGAGAGAGCACATGAGAGGGGGGAGGGTCAGAGGGAGAAGCAGGTTCCTTGCTGAGCAGGGAGCCCGATGCGGGACTCGATCCAGGGACTCCAGGATCATGACCTGAGCCGAAGGCAGTCGCTTAACCAACTGAGCCACCCAGGCGCCCCTCATTTGGGAGTTTTAAACACTGATGCCAAGGCCAGCTTCCAGAGATTCGGATGTAATTGGTTTGGAGTATGGCTTGGCAGTTTTTCTTTTTTTTTTTTTAATTTTTTTTTTTTTTAAAGATTTTATTTATTTATTTGACAGAGAGAGACAGCGAGAGCAGGAACACAAGCAGGGGGAGTGGGAGAGGGAGAAGCAGGCTTCCCGCCGAAAAGGGAGCCCGATGTGGGACTCGATCCCAGGACCCTGGGATCATGACCTGAGCCGAAGGCAGACGCTTAACGACTGAGCCACCCAGGCGCCCCTGGCTTGGCAGTTTTATAACCAGAATGTCCAGCAAAGTTTGAGAACTGCTGCCCCACACAAGTCCTCCTTATCTGAAGTCAGGGGCACCTTCAGCTTCTCCAGTCACCTGACCAATGGCTCCTGAGCCACTGAACTTGAGGCTTTGTTTTTGGACAAAGCTGGAAGGAGGAGGGGCCTGAAAACTTCCAGTCCTGCTGTCCCAGGAGGGCAGGGCTGTAGAGAGGACCCAGGAATCCAGCTCCAGACTCTGTCCCCCAGCAGTCTCCTCAGTCCCGGACGGGACAGGAAGTGTCCGGCAGAGGTGGGCTGGAGGTGATTGGCAGTCGGAGGCTCCAATGGGCCCAGACCCCCCTCCCTTTTCACCCCAGTCCTTCCATTGGTGCCTGGGCGGAGCCGCCCCCTCTGCGGGGGGCCCCAGGGCGGGAGGGAGTAGAGGCCGGGGCAGAGGGCGAGGGCGGAGGGCGCAGGCGGCGGAGGCCGCAGAAGGTGAGGCCTGATGGGGCCGGCGGGAGTCCCCGAGAAGGCTTGCCAGGAGAGGGCGGGGCAGGGTGGTGTACGATCTGAAGGGCCTGGACTGGCGCACGGACTGTCAGCGTGTGCGTGTGACTGGTAGGCTGTGGGTGACGGCGTCGGTGTGTGGACCTGAAACTGAGGATCACTTGGGGCAGCTGTCAGTTAATACGACTGCGTGTGTCGGCGCGCATGTGGTTGAGTCTGCGTGTGGCTGTGCGAGTGTGGGATTCTGCGTTTCCGTCCATGTGCAGTTTTTGGTGAGAGACTGGGTTGCGTGCTTGTGTGTGAGAGGGCCTGTGACCATACGGGGACTGGGTTTGGGGAAGGGGTCTGTGGGGTTTAAGACTGTGTGTGCCTGTGTGAGAGTGGGTGCCTGGGTTTGCGTGTGCCATTGTGTGACTTCAGCGTGGCAGGGCGAGAGTGAGAGACTTGAGTTATGTGCGTGTCCTGTGTCCTGTGTCAGACTGTGTGAGAGTGGAGCTGTGTTGTATCTCGGGGACCAACTTCAGTAGCCAGTGGGACTGACCTTTCTACTTAATGTCCAGCAAAGACAGACCCACCGAAACACACTTGTCTTCCCTTCCTTTCTGTGCTCTAGCATCCCTGTCATTGGTCTACTGCTTATTTTCTGTTTCCCTGTCTCAGTTTCCTTTTATTTCTTTTTCTCTCCCTACTGCTGTCTTCCTAGAGCTGTCAGTCATCTGTGTCTCCCACAGTTTTGTCTCCCCAGGTATCTCTGTGTATCTGCCTCTCAAATCCTCTACATCTCTGTCTCTCTCTGTACCCCTGTGCCTAGCTCCCCTGTTCACCTTTGTCTCTTTGGCTACATGGGGGCCTGGAGCAGTGACGAGATGTGGGATCTGCCATTCTAAGAGCACCCTGGAAGAGGTGACTTAAACCATTATGAGGATTTGCTTCTGGGGAATGCTGCGACTCCATCCCAGGGGCAGAGTGCTAAGTGTCTGTGTGTCTGTGTGTCTGTGTGTCTGTGTGTGGTGTGAGGGTATGGGTAGGAGTCTGAGTGAGGATGTCTGAGTGTATCCGTGTGACTGTGAGTGGCTATATCTGAGAGTGTGTGTCTGAGGGTAAGCGTGGGTCTTGTATATCTGGCACCAAGGGACCAAAGGCATTTCCTGATGCTGGGGCCCAAAGAGTGGAGGGGGAGGTGAGAAATGGCTGGAACGTCCAGGGGCGGAGGGACTGGACTCTGGATTTTCTTTATACCCCCCAACCTGGGGCCTCCCTTCCCCTCAAAAAACGGCTAGCTATGCCCTAAGGAAATATTTGCTGGGGAGTGAAAAGAGTGGGGGCATGAGTCTGTGTCTGATTTTTCATTTGGTTATGTCCACGTGTGTTCAAGGGAGTGTCTTTTTGTTGACTGTGCTTAGTGAGTCCAGGCATGAATGTGGCTGGGTGAAAACATAGGGAATCTCTCCCTGACAGGGACATGAGCAGTCCTCCTTTCCCTCTTGCTGGCCGTGGCTGTGCCTGTGGCTTCCTTTCCAGACTGGGGGGAGGCCTCTTCCCTTCCCAGGGCCTCGGGTGGGAGGGGGGCGAAAGGGGAGGAAGGAGGAGGAAAGAGGGAGGTGGGGGCCTAGCTCAGGGCGGCTGAGCTCTAGGGCCCAGAGGGGCGGAGGAGGGAAGGGGAAGGAGGGGATGATTCTGGGGTCCCAGAACTGAGTGGAGCTGAGACGGGTGCTGTAGCTGGTGGAAGTCCTGGAGGCCATGGACACTCAGCCACTGGGATCACCGAGGTAGGGCGGGGCTGAGCAGGGTAAATGTGGCTGGGGTGGGGGTTGGGGGGGGTGTGAGCAACTAGACACATTCAGAGAGATACAGACACATGGAGGCCCTTGTTCTGCTCTACTTGGGAGGGGTCTGTGCTCTTCCTCTTTTGGAGCCCTTGCCTGCCTGGGCCCTCTCCCTATCTGCTCCTTCTCCTATCCCCATGGCCACTTCCCCACTGCCTTTCTTATCCTGCTCTTCTCCTATCCAGAATCCCTCTCTCCCAGCACTCCCACAAGCGGTGGTTACCATACACAAGCGGTGGTTACCTCCTTTGCCTTTCTGGTTCCTGCTGCCATAGCCCAGCCCTTGCCTCCCTGAACTCCCACTACCTCCCAGTCTTGATCTCGGAGCATCTCTTGGTCCTGTGGCCTCTACCCCAGGCCCCTTTCCCTGTAGGCTCCTTGCTCCTCTCAGCTTTCTCTCCACTCCCCGACACCCTGTCTCCATCCCCTGGCTCCTTGCCCACCCCCAGCCTCTGGCAGCAGCCAAGGCATCTGGATCTGCTTAACTCTGCAGCCTCAGCCTGCACCCTAGCCCCATCCAGCCTCACAGGCTCGAGACCAGCAAGATTCCAGAGTCAGGCCCAGATGAGTGGCCCAAGGAGCCAGGCCCAAGAGAGAAGAGGCCTGGTAGCCAGAGCAGGGCTAGGCCTCATGGTAGGAAAACAGCGTGGGCTCCGACCCACCTTGACAGCCCCCCACCCAAGGTTGATGAAGGCTGTCTCAGGTTAACCAGAGGCAATGACTAGCCCTGGGCCAGGTGGAGTGGACGCTGGAATTCCCAACAGCTGGGTTGGAGGAGTTAATGGGAATGACTGGGCTGGTGCCAGCACTTGGTGCCAGGGGTGGGTGCCAAGGGTGGTGTGAGTGTGTGTGTGTGTGTGTGTGTGGAGCGGGGGGGACTGCTGGCGCAGTCTGTCGCCTCCGGCTTTTGTTCTGGGCCCTAGGCCCAGGACTTTGATGGAGGGTGTGTGTGTGTGTGTGTGTGTGTGTGTGTGTGTGTTTGCATGTATGCCCATGCAGCACTGAGTGTATGGTGGAAAAGGGAACCTTAGATCAGATCCCCAGATATTTTCTGATATCCTTACCCCATTTGGTACCAGTTTTCTTCCTAGAAAGTCTCAGTTTAGAAGAGGAGGAGGCAGGCTTTAGTCTCCCATCTGGGAATGGGGGATTGCTGACCCTGCCTCTCTCCCCACAGATGAGCAGCAGCTGCTCAGGGTTGAGCAGGGTCCTGCTGGCTGTGGCTATAGCCCTAGTGTCCGCCGCCTCTCCCTGTCCCCAGGCCTGGGGCCCCCCAGGTGAGAAGAATCCGGCTATATGACTCTAACTCTGACTTGTGACTTGCCACCCTCACTGTGGACCCTTTCCATGCCTAATCTGTGACTCCCAACCCCTGACATCCAACCTGGCAAGATTCCTTCTCTACCCTGTCTTCTGACCTCTGTCTCTAGATTATAACATGATGCTTTGACCCAGTGACCCCACCCAGGGCTTAAAAGTTTGCCACTTATGCTGTTGTGCTGAGTGGGGGCTGGGATGGGAGAAAAGGAAAGGGAGAGCCTTTCCTCAGAAGTGCCCTCCACAGGGTTCCAGTATGGGCAGCCTGGCAGGTCCATGACACTGTGTTGCCCTGGAGTGACTGCTGGGTAAGTGCCCCACCTGCCCATTGGGCTGACACTCATGACCCTTTCTTGACTCGGTCCAGTCCTTGTGCCCCTCCCATCCTTGCCCCCTGTGTCTATAATCCTCATCTCTCTAGCTATCCTAACCCTCAAACCATCCTTATTCAACAGAAAATTTTAACCAACATGTATTGAGCACCAGCTAAGTCCCTGGTTTATCCTAGGCTTTGGGATCTAGCAGGGCATAAGCCTGGCAAGATGCCTGCCCTTGCAGAGGTTACATTCTAATAGGGCAGACAGATATGAGCAAATATGAATCTTGCCAGGGAGTGGTACCTGCAGGGCAGAAAATCAAAAGGAAGTGATGTGGAAGAGGATAACTGATTGGTTACTTTTTCTTGGTAATCAGGGAAGACTTCTCTGAGGAGGTGACATTGAAGCTAATTTCTAAAGGTCAGGAAAGAGGCAGCCATGCACAGGTTGGGGTACAGGCATTCCTGACAGAGGGAACAGCTAGTGCAAATGCCCTGAGGTGTGAATGAGCTCAGTACTCTTGAACAGAAAGAAGATCAATGTGACTGGAGTGTACTGGGTGAGGGGGAGAGAGGGAGGAGCTGAAGAAGGAAACGAAGGCAAGGGCTAGATCACCAGGGGCTTTGTAAGCCCCTGGACTTAAAGGACTTAAAGGACTCTGGGTTTTATTGCAAGCACAGTGAGAAGCCAGTGGAGAGCTGTGGCATGGCTTACACTTTAAATCTTCCCTCTATCATCACCTCATCTCACCCCCAGGGCCCCGGTGTCCTGGTTTCGGGACGGGGAGACAAGGCTGCTCCAGGGACCTGACTCTGGGCTAGGACATGAGCTGGTGTTGGCCCGGGCAGACAGCACTGACGAAGGCACCTACATCTGCCGGACCCTGGATGGTGTACTCGGGGGCATTGTGACCCTACAGCTGGGCTGTGAGTTGGGGAGGGAGTATTGGGTGGCAGTGATGAGGCAAGGGGCTCCTGAGGAAATCCAGGCCCTGAGTAAGCCCTCTAGGATGGGAAGGACCTGGGACTTCTCAGATTCCAGTTGCACCTTCTTCCTCTAGACCCCCCAGCCCGCCCTGTTGTCTCCTGCCAAGCAGCTGACTATGAGAACTTTTCCTGCACTTGGAGTCCCAGTCAGGTCAGCGGTTTACCCACCCGCTACCTCACCTCCTACAGGTGTGTGCATAATTGGGTGTGTATGCCTATACATTTGGGTGTGTAGGCACAATGTGGGTGTGGGAGGCAGTGAAGGAGGTCCTGAGGAAGGCCTCAGAGAGAGGGAGGATCCTCTTTTCCTTCCTGACCTCAGATGGCCCCCTCCCTGCCAGGAAGAAGACTGTACCAGGAGCTGATGGCCTGAGGTAGGACATAAGGGAGAGGCTGGGGGCTCCAGCTAGATCCCGCAATGAGCACTTCCAGAGCCCAAGACCACATCCTCCTTCCTAGGATGAGTCCATCCACAGGACCCTGGCCATGCCCCCAGGATCCCCCAGGGGCTGCCCGCTGTGTAGTCCATGGGGCCGAGTTCTGGAGCCAGTACCGAATAAATGTGACTGAGGTGAACCCCCTGGGGGCCAGCACACGCTTGCTGGACGTGAGCTTGCAGAGCATCTGTGAGTACCTGTTCCTACTGCTCCCTCAGATCCCCACCTCAGAGACCCCGAATGGACTCCAGGGTACAGATATCCCAACATGGAACCTCCACCTGCCAAACAGTTCCCTTCTGACAGAGACCTCATTTTAGCACACAGATAGCTACTGTGGAGACTAAGAAGCCAAAGAGATCAGAGCCTAGGAGGCAGGGTTACCTCAGCCTCTGGAGGCTGCTGCCACTACCCCTTCCTGGGTGCCTAGCCCACAAGTCCTTCCTGGGTGCCTAGCCCCAGAGCTGCTCCTGCTTCTAGGGCCTGTGCTGAAGGCAGCCGTGTCTCATGTCCTTCCTGCCCAGTGTAAGCCCTTGCTGGCCCCTCTTTCCTTTTGATCCGTATGTGGGAGGGGGGAACTAAAGCTCTAGCTAAGGGCTAGAGAGGGACAGGCAGACTCCATGCTGAGCACAGAGCCCAACGTGGGCCCAATCCCACGACCCTGATATCATGACCCGAGCCGAAACCAAGAGTGGGACGCCCAACCGGCTGAGCCACCCAGGCGCCCTAGCTCATTTTATAATAAGGTTGACAGACAAGTCCTGAGGATCCAAAGGATGATCCAAAGGATGATCAAGCTTAAGATTTCCCCAAACCCCTTGGAAGTGCCTCCCTCAGGTACCTTTAGGCATATACCCACCTTCCCTTGGGAGGTGGTGGGGAAGAGATGGGTACCTGTCGCCTGTCCTGACTTTGTGTCTCCACCACCCTCAGTGCGCCCTGACCCTCCCCAAGGGCTTCGCGTCGAGTCGGTTCCTGGCTATCCCCGCCGCCTGCATGCCAGCTGGATGTACCCTGCCTCCTGGCCCCGCCAGCCCCACTTTCTGCTCAAGTTCCGACTGCAGTACCGTCCAGCGCAGCATCCAGCCTGGTCCACGGTGAGGCCTGGAATGTGTCCCAATCTGGGGCTATGGCTTCTGCCTCTGGTTTCATGTTCCTGGTTATTCTGCCTGGCTTTCTGGCACACTGGCAGGTCACCAAAGCCCTGTCACCTCCTCCAGTAGAGTGCTCTCCATGGGCGAGTCTTTGTGCTGGGTGCTGGGGTTGCAGCAGGGCCTGGTAGGCCTAGCCTCTGCCCTGTGGGGCTGTAACTCTGATGTCTGCCCATCTGTGGGAAGACAGGAGTGGCTTTTTACAAATGACTTTTCTAGGAAAAGGAGTACCTTTCACCCAGAGGCACATTCTCCCGTAAACATTCATATACCCAGATGAGGACAGTAGTGAATTTCTACCCCTGAAGATGTTAAAGATGGGCTAGCATCAAGTCTGGGGAGCAGCAACCTCAGATAATGCCCGATATTTATTGAGCACCACCTGCCTGCCAGGCACCGTCCTACACATTTTACTTGCATTATCTCATTCAGGTATCATCACCTCTATTTTACAAATGAAGGGACCAAGGCACAGAGTGGCCCAAGGTCACTCAGTAAGTGTTACAGCAAAGATGTGAACCCAGGCAGTCTGATGGCACAGCCTGTCTGTGCAACCGTCATGCACTTTTGTCTTCCAAACACTAGGTGTACACCTGAAACCACCAGCCTCCCGACGTGAGGCCCTGACAGGGACGGGACTGGAGGAAGGGGTGCTCTTTGCTAATGAAGGTTGGGGGCAGGTAGGCTTGGCATTTACAACCTGGATAACGGGCCAAGGAACCATCTTCATTCCCAGGTGGAGCCGGCTGGATTGGAGGAGGTGATCACGGATGCTGTGGCTGGGCTGCCCCACGCTGTACGGGTCAGTGCCCGGGACTTTCTGGACGCTGGCACCTGGAGTGCCTGGAGTCCTGAGGCCTGGGGGACTCCGAGCACCGGTGAGAGACTGAGCCCAGGGCACGGGCAGTGGGCCCGCCCACTGCATCTGTTGGCCGGATGGGTGTGCGAGTGGGCTGCATGTACATGTCCTGCCACACAGGCGTGGCCGTTGAGGTCCCAGTCTTCAGCCTTGGTTGTCCGCAGCCCCGCCCCAGCTTAAGCCCTGCCCCTCGGCCTCCACCTCCATTAGGCCCCCAGAAGCTGGCTCTACCCTTTCAGCTTCCACCTCCTGGGCACCCCGTGTCCAAGCCAGGCCCTGGCGTCCCCTGGCAGGCCCCGTCTTCCACCCCCACCCCGTGTGGACAGGTCTCCTCAGGTCTTGCCTCCCTTCAGGGCTCCTACCAGAGGAGATACCAGCTGGCGGACAGCCACAGAAGCAGCTAGAGGAGGAGCCTCAGGCAGACAGCCCTGCTCCCCCCAGGCCCTCCCTCCTGCCAGACCCACGGCCACTTGGTAAGCTTGGGCAGGTGAACAAAGGTTGTATAGGACGGGAAAGCCCCGGAGAGAAAGGGTTTGGTCAGGCAGCCTCGCTCTCACAGTGGCATGCGACCCTTCCCCTCAGACCACAGAGACCCCCTGGAACAGGTAGCAGTGCTGGCATCTTTGGGGATCTTCTCTTTCCTGGGACTGGCAGCTGGGGCCCTGGCACTGGGACTCTGGTAAGTAACTGCCAACGGCCCCTCAAATTCTGATCCCACGCAGATGCTCTGATACCCACAGACCACACCCATTCCCACCCTTCATGATTTCCCAGTGAAACTTTCTGATTCTGGAACAACTCCCCCCTTCTCCCTCCAATCCCCACTTCATTATTTTCACTGATTTCTCTCCTGACCGTTTACTAATACACTGTTTTGGAGGAGACAGAGATGTACAAATTGTCAGGGAGACAGCTACCTTTTTGTGCTCCAGGCTGAGACTGAGACCAGCTGGGAAGGATGGACCCCAAAAGCCTGGGTTCTTGGCTCCAGTGATTCCAGTGGACAAGCTTCCAGGTGAGTAGGACATCTAGGAGGTTTGGATTCAGGATGTGTACCCTCGTTTTGAGTGTCTGGATTAAGAGCCAGGTGCTCTAGTCATCGTAAGGGTGTTGGGAATCAGAGTTGGGTCACCTCATTCATATGATGTCTGAGCTCAGGGATGGACCTTTCATTCTTGAGTCCTTGGGCTCAGAGTTGGGTCTCTTTTCCTTCTCTCACATGGTATTGGGGTTCCTAGATGGGCCCCCCTCATTTTCAGGGTGTTAAGCTCAGAGCTGGAGGTCTATCCTGACTCTGGGGCTGTCTTGGATCAGAGTTGGGTCCCCTCCCTTACTCTTGGTGTATCTGGGCCCAGAACTAGGAATACTTCATCTTCAGGGTGTTGGGGTTCAATCAGAGCTGGGCTCCTCTATTCATGCCTGGTGTTGGGCTCAGAGCTGGGTCCCCTCACTCATTCTCAGGGTGTCTGGGCCAAAATCTAGTCCCTATTATCTCCCTTGATTTGCCTCCTGCTTCTTCTAGGAGCCCCAAACCTGTAGATGACCCAGGAGGGCTTCAGCTGATTCACCTATAATTCTGTCTTGCTGGTGTGGATGGACAGACAGATAGAACCCAGGCAGGCTAGTAGATCCCCATGGAGGCAGGAGGGCGGGGAGTGGTCTCAGCTGGAGGTTCGGTTTGGAGCCCAGTTCTGTCAGACTCTGTTCCAAACTTGCCAGCTGAAAGGTGCTGGACCTCTCATTTCATCTCAGAATTGGAGGTCCACCTGAGGAATGTGTGTAGATATGTATGTTTGTGTCCATGTGTGCCCATGTGTATGTGAGGTAGGGAACATGTGTTCTCTAAATGTATGCATGTAGGTGCCTGGGGAGTATTTGTGGCTCCTTGGCGCTTGGCCTTGCCCCTGGAGGGGTTTGTGAAGATGTGAATAAAGAGAATGAGGAGGTTCTTCTGTTTATTGACATGTCTCCCAGCTTCAGATTCAGGGCTCACAGGAGAATGCATAGAACTTGGAAACCACAGTCAGAGACTGTTGTCCAATGCTGCTTTATTGTTTCGGCTACTGGGGGCCCTGGTCCATTTCCCCTATCAGCCCCAAATTCAGGTTAGGCAGAGTCCCCTGGAGCCTCCTCCCTTGGCGCTCAAACCACCGAGCCAGGCTGCGGTTCTGAGGGTGGATGCAGACACTGCGTCGAGACAGGTGAAGCCTGGGAAAGGAAAGGTCCAAAGCCATAGTCATAGCTTGGGGATGAGGTTAGGGTCCAGGGGTTAGGGCAGAGGCTAGATGAAAACTTGAGTCAGCCTCAGAATTAGCAATTGGGGTTGGGGTTGGGATCAGCATCAGGGGTTAAGACTGAGGTCAGACTCAGGGGTCAGTATGAGGGGGAGGGTCAGAGCTCACACGAAGGCCTGGAGGTGACAGTCCCCATCAGCTTCCTGCACCTCCACCCGGATGACCCTCCTCAGGAGCTTGTTCGAGAGCGGCTGGCGGTAGAGCTGAGTACAGCAGGTATTGCTGATTGGCAGTGGCAGTGCTAGGAGACAGTGGGGCCATGTGTTCAGAGGGCTCCTGACCCAAAACCCTTTCATCAGACAGCTGGAGGATGGACTTCCTGGGTCCCTTTCCCTCCATCCCATTCACCCAAATCCCTCACCTTCTAGACCCCCAAGCACTCACCTGCTCCAGGGTCTGGGCTCAGCAGCAACAGTAGCAGCAGGAGGCTGCTTGTGGACGAGGGCCCCTTCATGCTGCTCAGCCTGGATACTTCTCTCTCCTCCTTCTCCCCTACCTTTTATCTGGGTGCCTTTTACCTGGGGCACCAGGTGAGTCAGAGGCAGGTGAAGACGAATTGCTCATCCTGTGACATTCCTGGGCCCTAATTGCCACAGACCCCTTCCTCTTCTAGGGCTGCCATTTCCCATGGCTTCTAAGCCCTGGACAGAGAAGCTGGAGAGAGGGGTAGTGCATGATGTGAAGACTGATGGTACAGTGATGAGTAAGGGCACCTAAGTATCCACAGTGGCATCCAGTGATGGACATTCACACTCACATACCCACAGTCACATTCAGTCACACCTCAATCACTCAGTCAACCTTACACAGTCAGACAACCAAAGTCAGAATCACACAGCGCCAGTTGTACTCAAAGTCCCATTCCCACATAGTTGTGTCTTCACAATCATTCAATCACAATCATATGAGCACAGACAAATTCTGATAGGGGAATTGTGGGCGGGGTGGGAGCAGAGGGAAGGCCAGCACCAACTTGCCTTCATCTTCCCCTCTCTACTTCCTGCCCTAGCCTGCCTGTCTTACCAGGAAAAACTGATGAGTATGGATCCCTAAAGCAAGCTCTTCTGGCTGAGGATGAGTCTTGGCTGGGACAGTAACAACCAGAGTGAGAAGCTCGGTGCTATTGGGGTACCTCTGGGATGCTAAGGTGGGGGCTGCTTTCCCCAGGGAGATGAGGCAGGGAGGAAGGATGGGGTGGATAAGGTGGGAAGATGAAAGAAGATAAAGTTCTTTGGTGCCAGGTTGCTGCTGTCAAACAGGAAAAAGACCCAAGAAATCTTACCTTCCTGTTTTTGCCTGGTCCTGTCCCAGAAATGCCAGCCTCTTGCCAGCAGGGGCCTGGGGCTTCCAGAATCAATCCTGGCTTATTGAGACATCAGACTCAAGAGCTCAATTACCTCTCTTTTGTTCAAATTCCAGCCTTTCCCTGCTGCCCACCCAGGTCCGGTAATACACCCCCCCACCCCCCACCCAACCCTTATACATTCTGCATCCCATCCTCTTGCTAAAGCCCCAACCTCTCCTCTCCTTCCTGTCTCTTATCTCCTAATCCCATTCCCAGCCCCCACTCCCTTCTTCCCCTTACCCCCTAAAGCAAAAATCCTCCTCCTCCTCTTGTCCTTTCCAGGAAGCTGGGGACTGCCTATGGTGGGGGCAAGCCGCTAAGTTTACTGCCTCTGGCACCTTGAAGAATTTCCCACTCCTGGTCTGGGGATTTCAATCCTCAAGTCTTGCTCTGTATTTGAAACATAAACTGAATCATAACCCAGTAATCCAGACCTTATCTGGTTGTTGTAAGGGTGCCTTCTGCAGCCTTCTGCTCTGTGGCCAGCTATTCTCTAAGGGGCAGGCCTTCTCTTGGGATAGGGACTCAAACCTGTCCTGGGCATCTTTCTGCTGCAGGGCTGCTGAAACCATCAGTTCCAAGAGTAAGAACTCGCCCCCCTCCCATGCTGAACAACTCAAGTTTCTCCTCCTTCCTGTCCAGGGTGAGGCTTGAAGGCCCTTTCCTGGAGTTTGTCTTGTGGATACTCAGGAATTCTGACAGTGTCCTGCTGAGGTGTAGGCCCAGGGCTGGACAGGGCACTCCACTTTTGACAGGGTTCTTGATGTAGACATTCTGAGGAAATGGCTCAGGAGCCTGGGTCCGTTCTTGAAGGTGGCCACAACCCAGAGGTCACCCATCTTGACTGCTAGTACCAGAGGCCTTGGGTCTCTCTCCCACCCTCCAGTTTGGACTTGTGCCCCAGAGCTTGGGTGCAGCTCTTGGCGTGCCATTTACTTATCACAGATCTCCATCAGCTGGTTGTCTGCCACATACTTTGTGGTCTTTCCTGGACCAATTGGTCTAGCTACCTGGAAAGGCAAGAAATGACTTCTTCCAGGTATGCACCCATCTCTCCCCTTTGGCTATTCCAAAGATAGGGCCAAGTCTTCTCCCCAGCCACAATCTGCTGTGGCGGGGGCAGCCCCAGGCTGAAAGTTAGCTTTGCCCCAACCCATAAATTGGGTTGTCTCTTTAACTTAATCTTCGGGTAACTTTTCTGGTGCTGGGCCTAGTCCTTTACTGAAAGCAGGCCCACCAGGAGTCCCTCACCCTCAGTACTTCAGGAGCTAGAGGGTTTCAGGTCAACTAGGGGAACAAGACAGGGGTGGCAGGGAGCCGTGGCCTTTGGGTTCTCCTAGGGACAGAGCAAGAACTGCTAGGTAAGCTGATGCCAAGTATCTTTAAACCTGAGAAAAGACTGGGGGAGCCAGAAGTTGTGGTATTAATTGTAGGAAAGATCTCCAACAGTCCCAAGTCACTCCCCTCTGGCAGGCTGCGGGAGTCAGTGTCTAGGAATCTTCCCCTCCTCTCACAGCCTACTTCCTACAACTCTGGGCTTACAATAGTTTAGATTCACTCTCAGAAGAAGAGGATTCTCCAGATACCTGGCAAAGTCCTGTCTAGGAGGAAGGTGGAACACATCAATGTGGAGATAAGCTGGGAGGAAGACCCGGACAGGGCTACTTAGTTCCCAGCATATAGGCTATTTACAGCGAAGTGGGGGCGGGGGGGGGGGTTAGGTGGCGGAGGGCAGTCAATGACAGTAATGGGAGGCCTGACACTGAGGAGGGATCCTTAGTAATAACGGGGGCCTGGACATGGAAGGGCACCCTATCAGGGAGGGAGGCCCTGTCAGTAACGAAAAGCAGGCGTGTAGAGGGGCTCCCAGCCTGAATGGAGGCAGCGGCGGCAGAGTCAGGAGGGCAGCACGGTGGCTTCGGTTTAAATCTTTAATGCACCGGCTGGCTGGGCAGTGGCGGTGGGGGTGCGGCGGGGGAGGCCGCGACCCGAGCGCTGGGGGGCAGGGCCCAGGCCGCTTGACAGACAGCTCATCAGGCCTCGTAGAGGCTCCAGCTTCTGCTCCCGGGGATGCGCCGAGCTGTGGGGCAACCCGACAGTGGCATGAGGCAGGGAGGGGACTCCCGGATTCCCCCCATCCATCCTCCTGAGGCTGAGCCTCGTGTGCCCCGGGCGGGTCCGCGGTGTCGCAGCCCCCTCACCTCCTGTCCCTCCGCCACATGCGCAGCCAGGGGAAAAAGTAGAAGCAACCCCAGTAGATCCTGCGGAGAGAAGGCCGAGCCGGGCCGGGCGGGGCGGGGCTGACCCCACAGTCTCCGCCGCTCAGACGCCTCGCCCCTCTCTTGAAGGCTCCGCCCCGCCCTTTAGAGGCGGTTCCCTCCGCAGCCCACGCCCCCTGAGGGGCTCCACGCCTCCCGCCCGCAGAGAACTCGCGCCCTCCCCCCACCCCCGAGCGGCTAGGTTCCTCCTCCGCAGAACCCGCCTCCACTCACTCCTCCTCCGCCTCCAGCGCCACCTCGTATCTCCTCAATCCCGACATGTCCTGGGCTCCGAACGTCTCCTGGGGAGCGGCATGATTGGATCAAGGATACCCCAACCCTAGGTCCCCTTCTTTGTCATTCTCGGGGCCAGTCTGGCCTGTTCTCAGGTAATCTGAGGCAGGTGCCCCCGGGAAGCCTCAACTGCCACATTGGGACAGGGTAGGATTGCAGAATTGGGAGGCACCAGACGTTAAGGATATAGGAGGTCGGTCACCTCGGGGGCCTGGGGCATTCAGGGGGTCAAGGCGAAAGGCTTTGCGGTCATGGACCTGGGATATTTGGGGCCCTGGGTGAGGATTTCGGGGGTTGGGATCACCTGGAGGGGGGCTGAGGGGTCGGTGCAGCCTAAACTCCCGCCCTCTCTGGCTCCACCCCGGAAACAGACCGTTACCGTTACGTCATAGGGACTCCGTCGCGCTCCAGGGGTGGGGCTTGCCTATTACCCGGAAGAGGCGAAGTCTGAGCGTTTCTTCAGAGGAGGAGGAGTCAAAGTGTCACGCTGGAGGTGGGGCCAGGGTCCATCTATCACTAAAGGGGCGGAGTCAGGCCCTATTAACTAGGATGCGGACGGAGCACGGGACCCTCTTTTGTGGGGGTAGAGTCAGATTTTGGAGCTCTCTCCCTGGGGACCTCAGCCCCAGGCAGCAAGATAGGAGCTTTGGGACGCTATCCAGTACTGTTTTCCCAGTCTACTTTTCTTTGCCCTCTGCCCTGATGCCACTTGTATGACTCTGGTCTGGGGAGGAATAGGTCTCCAGAGCGGTCCTAGCCTAGATGGAGCAGACTACAGAAGTACTTGATGTGTGAGTGGCTTTGGCCAAGTCACTTAATGGCCAGAGGGTCACAGCCCTTCCTCTCTGAGCTGAAATTTATTTTCCTGTGATTTTTGTTCCCACAGTCATTCAATCAGCAAATATATCAGGCTAGGAATAGGTATATAGCAGTAGAGAAGCCAGATTATTACAGTAAACACAGCACACTGGTTGGAGGCAGTAGAGGGTGCTGCAGTAGAGCCTAGAAAGCGCAATTAACCCAGTGTTGGAGGTTGGAAATAGCTGCCCCAGTTAGTCTGGGGAGGGAGGAAGAGAGCCTTCTGGCTGGATTGTAGGGGAGTGACCAGAAATAAGTGAAGTGAAAGTTCCCTCAGGCTGAAGTGCGGCAAATGGGTACACTACTCTTTCCCCCCATCCCACCTTCTTTCTCCCTCTCATACCTCTCTTTCCCTGCCTGGGCCACAAACAAGATTGCAGACAGATCTGTGGGTACCAGTTGAGCTTTATTGGAAGCATTGTGGTCTGAATGTGGAGGAGAAGCTGCACTCCTGCTACGCCACACTCACCCCTGCTCACACTCACACTCACACTCACACTCCAGGCCCTGTCCCGGCTGGGTCAGGTCTGGTGCAGAGTCGCTGGAGGCCTGGTCCTCCCTTCTGATCCTTGGTTCCCCAGGGCTGCAGTGACTCATATCCCTTCACTCAGACACAGGGCTCCCTCCGGGGCTGTCAGGGGCTAACTACTGTGGCGTTTGTTCTAGGGGAGAAAGGAGAGGCAGGGTCATGGGTTAGGGTCTTGGGCAGGGGCTCTGAGGGAGGAGGCAGGGCTGGGGAGGGCCGGGCTTGCCTTTGCAGAGTTCTTCTGCAGTCTCTGGATGATGCGGTCCACCCAGGGCTGGTCTGGAGGTGCATAGAACTGGTTACCTCTCAGCACAGTGAACCTGGAATCAGAAGGAATGGAACAATCCTGGAACCCAGCTTCCTGGCAGGCCTTGGTGTGAGGAGCAGAAACTGAGGACCACATCTGGAAACCTGTTTCAGGGGCTTCCTTGTGGGGAGGAGCTTGGCAAGGAAAAGGGAAGTAAGATGATGAAGCCCAGGTGACAGAGGAGGTGATTGGGAGAGGAAGAGTCTGGTTACTCTTCACCCTCCCCCACAAGACAACAGTACCCTACAGCCATCAATGAGAAGGAGATAGGAACAAAAAGGCACCAAAAATGTTCCTGGGAATTGGGTGTTGGTTCACCAAGAGACAAAGTCCTCAGAGTTGTTGGCATCACTCAGAGGTGGGGATGGGGTGGGTATAAGGGTTAGGGCTTGAGGGACTTTTAGGTGGGAAGACCACAGCCCTGACTAGAATTCAGGATGCCTATCCCCAGTGTCATAGCTCTAGTGTTCCTTTCTTTTCCATCC